GCACAGTTTCTCAAAGTGTGTCCTGGGACTTGTTAGAAATAGAAATTCTCAGACGCTAAGCAGAATGCCCCATTCCCAGAGTTCCTGAATTAGCAGGTCTGGAATGGGGTCTGAGAATTTGCTTTTCTAACAAGTTCCCAGATGATGCTCTGATACTGGTCTGGAAATCACTTTGAGAAGGTGATGTAGAAGATGGATCACCTCTTTATGAGGCCCCCAGGTCCCCAAGAATGAATCCCATGCATGCCACATAACTAATATTTTAAGTCAGGACATCCCAAATGTACCCTCTGCACTCCACGAAAATCTTTCTAGCTACTTTCTCATGAGCTAGTAACAATAGTTCCTGGCTCACAGTAGGGCTCCTAAGTGTTTTTTGAATTACTAAAGAGATTTATATCCTTAGCATGGGTAAAGTGTCTAAAGTTAAGAACACTTATCCTGCCTATGACTTGCTGCATATGATCACTTTATGGCATTCATGATGACCTGTTAGTATACTTCTACTTTTGCAACCTATAATTCTGCAGCTTGTTTTAGGAGAAGCCATTGTTGGCATAATTGTTCACTCCGTATTTTGATAAATTTTAATTGTTACAATGCTGAGAAGGCAATTTTTGATAAGTATAGTATGCCCCCTGCAGGGGGCTCATTTGGAAATGTGTCTGTGAGAGCTTTTTTGTTGTCACATTGACAGTGTAAAAGTAGAAAAGTTGTAATCATCATTCAGTGCCTCAGGCTCAAGAGTGTTAACTGTCCTGCTCGCAGAGGATTGTCCTGTCCAGTGAGGAGAAACCAGCAACCTGTTGATAGGTGACAGAAATATCTCCTTGGTGAAATCATTTCCCCGTGAGCATGTAATCAGATTTACTTATTTCACAGGAGGATGGAGCACTATCTCTTCTGCTTTTGCGTTATGTAATTTAATTCTCCCAGTGAATATTTATTCATATGTAAGGCTAAGTGCTATGTGCCTTACAGAGATGTCTGAGGCCCAGGCCTGCCTGCAAAGAACTTATAGAACCAGCAGTGAGTTATAGAAATGGCTTAAGAATCATAAAATGATAGGAACAGAGAGGAAGAGTTACCTGGGAAATTACTCAAGTTTCAACCAGAGAAATAACCAGTGGGAGACATTTGTTAGGAGATTCATTGCAAGGAATTGGCTTATGCAATTGAAGGCGCTAAACAGCCAAGTCTGAAATCTGTAGAACATGCCTGCAGGGCTAAGTGGACTGAAATTCTCAGGCATGTGCGAAAGCTGCAATCCGAAGGTGGAATTTATTTTTTCAAGGAAATCTCAGCTCTGGTTTTAGGGCCTTTCTGGATTAGTCCCACCCAGAATCTCTAGAACAATCTCCTTTAAAGTCAACTGATTATAGACTTTAATCATGTCTTGAATACCTTCACAACAGCATCCCAGGTAGTGCTTGATTGAGTAACTGCAGACCGCAGCTGAGCCCAGTTGACACATTAAAAAAAAGACCATCACACTAGAGACTGAGTGTTCAAGGATCATATCTTGAAATGTGTGGCATTTGTTCCAGTCCTTAAAGAGTGGAAATTCTCAGATGTGTGACTAAAGAGAATAGGTCTTCCAGAGAGTACCACTATTAAATATTAATAAAAATGAATAGGGGTACCTGGGTGGCTCAGTCAGTTGAACATCTGACTCTTGATTTAAGCTCAGGTCATGATCTCAGGGTCATGAGATTCAGCCCCATGATGGGTTCCACACCCAGTGTGGAGCCTCCTTGAGATTCTCTGTCTCCCTTTACCCCTTTTCATCCCCTCTCTGCTCTCACTCTTTCTCCAAAATAAAAATAAATAAAAGTAAACAATAAAAGATACCAAGACAGGAATGTACAGTTGGTGTTAGCACACTGGCTGGCTAGTAGGTGCTCTACAACCTTTCTCTGAACCTGATCTCTGTTTCCTTATCTAAAAAGTGGGTTGAATACTCCTCATGACTGTCCCCTAGGGAGGAATGAGATGATATTTTAGGGTAAATTTTGGAATCAGTAAACGCTATGAATGTTAGGGTATTTTACAGTGGTGGTGGTGGTAGTATTTGCATATGAAGTTTGGTAACAAAGCAAAAAACAAACAAAAATCACACTCCAAAAAGGCTAGCCAGGTAAAACAGAGCCTGATTGTGGTGGGCTTTGTCTAAAATTAGCATCTTTAATTTGGGGAAGGGAAGAAGGTATTCTCTAAAGTTTGTTCCAAATGGATTGAAAGGAAATAAAAATATCTCTGTATACATAGCCATGCCCATTGTCAAAAAGACACCGTCATCGTTTGCTCTGGGCCTAAGACGACTCAACATTTTTTTACAGAAGCGGACCTCTATTTTTGATGCAATATTGGGGGTGAAGGAGAGTCATTTATTATAAACTTATTGAATACTTTGCCTAAATAAGGAAAAAAGAATTAAGCCATTTCCAAGAAAGTTGTTCCAAGTTTCTTAGGTAATGGCTCTTGTAGCCAATTGACTCAGTCACCAAAGAAAGCTCCAGAAAGGGACGCTACAGTGAGTACAGTTTGACACACTTTTTTCTCCTTTTTCCAGAGCTGTGCTCTACAAACCAAGCTAATTTTGCCAAGCAAGTTCCCCCCTAATTGTTCAAGCCATATGCATTTTGAAAGAAATTTAATCCATATGTTCCTGAGTCACTTACGCCTAAGTCATTAAAATGTTATTTTGTAAATGTGATTTCATGTTTGAAGTCGTAGTAAAGTATTTTTAGGAGATTTTCCTTCTTCATAACGCTAAATTTTTCTTGGTTTGTTTTCTTGTTTTATTTAAACACTGCACATCATCTTAACACATCCTGTGGTGAGACACAAAGGGAATCTCGAAGCCAGAAGGACGGTCTAGTCTAACACATTTGAAGCAGCCAGTTTTCTCTTCACACGAGTCTACAAATGTTTTCCTCCTTTAGTGTCTTCTCTTGTGTCCTGGGCTGCTTTGAACCTGGTCATATCCCACCCTAGCCCTCACCCACGCTGCTCCCCAAACAGGTGCCCATGAGAAAGAAGGGGGAAACCAGACAGCCTCTTATGATATATTTCTCAGCTCTGCTGCGTAATCCTTTCTTTCTGAAACTGAGTTCATTTTCCCCTTATATCTACTAGCACTGCCAGCTGGGAGGATTTAGGTGTTTCATAAAATGTCTACAAGAGAGAAGTAAAATTGAATTTAGGAGCAGTATGGCTTTTCATTCTTAGGGCAAATGAGTGGTGGTGTCTGCTTAGGACTGAAGCCAATTGAAAAATAGTTTCATGTTTTTCCCCAAAAACTTTTTTTTTTTAAACCCCTGTCTCTTTGAAGTCTTGTGATATGGACCAAGATTGGTCTATGCATGAAGCATCCTAGTTTATGTGTGTCTGTCCATCAGCAACATCTGTTGGCTACAAAAGGACACCAGAGAGGCCTTATTTTTAGGGTTTGGTAGAGATTTGTCTGTTCTGAGTACCAATTCTTCATAGGCAGCAGGTGCACAGCATCAAACATAGTAAGAGACATTTATCACCCAGAGGTCCCAAGATTTAAGGAGTTAAAACTTTACATGTCATCAGTTTGAACTTGTGAAATACTTTCCCATCTTCTTTGTTTGTTTTTAACTCAATCCCCAAAACTGCCCTGAAGGCAGTGGTTTCTGGCTTTGGGTCAGTTGTTTTTTTCATAAGGAAACTGAGGTTCAGAGAAGTTACTTTCTCAGATCTTTCACAAGGAGGTGGTGGTTGTTGGTATGTGCCTCTGACCCCACTAGATTATAAGCTCTATGAAAGGAGAGATGTTCTCTCCATCATGTGGGGATGTTTGAGGACCTTTGTGGGCTTTTACCTTTTGGAGCCCTACTTTGTGTCATTTCAAATGTGTTAAAACATTTGACTCTGTGCCTTTTTTTTAAATCCAAGGTGCTGAATTTTCATTTTTCTTGAAAGTTCTAGGTTCTGTTAGCAAGTGACCCACTAAACATGGCAGAAAGCTAGAGAGAGAGAGAGAGAGAGCCCCTTCCTTATGAAAGAAAGAAATACAAAGGGACTAAATGAGGAAGGGAGAAACTAGGATTATCTAAAGAGCTATCCTTTCTTCCTCAAACCTGATTTCACCCCGGAAAAGGGGATCCATTCTTATGTGGATGGTCACTGGGAATACTTGTTCCTCATGGACCTCTTTGGAGGCCTCCTGCTCTGCTTCCTCCTATGCTTTGCCATTTACCTAGAACTATCCCCAGTGGGAGATTGGTATTTATTTAGAGTAAAGCTCCATTGCCTTGGGAGTATTTCCCAGAGCAGTTCCTAGATGTCACCTCTCCCATTGACTCTTTCTTCCCCGCCCAGCCCCCTTCAGCAAGAACTTTTCTAATATTTTATATTTGAGTTATTTTCTTTTTTAGAGAAGGTGGTAAATTAGACCATGAGGAAATCAGCCCTAAAAGTTCTAGAGATTGTCTTTCTTGAAAACGCCAGGTCTGTTGTGATTGTCATCATCATTGTCATCAGGAGTGAAAACCAAATGGGAAGAAGGCTTTAGCTGCTTTGTTCATGGACAGAATTGCCACTGATCGTATCCCCCTCCAGCATTTCTGTGAGCCTTAGAACTGTTCTCAGGCCAATAGAGTATCCTGTCCTAAAATCATAATCCTGACTGTTGACCCATCCAGCTGTTCCCTATTGAGAGTCCCCTTTTCTCTTCAGGGGAACCATCAGGTAGAATGGCTGCTGGGCATGTACTGGACCTGAGGGCTTGCAGGGTCTGTGGGGAGGCCGCCTCACAGCCTCGCCACGCTCTGGCATCCTTCCCCAGTATCCGAGGCTTGAGGAGTGGCCAGAGTCAAAGATGCCATTTACACGGCACTGGGTGTAACAATCTGAATAAATAGTTAGGATTCCGACCGTTGTACGCCCAACACTCGAAAGTTCTAAACATACTTTGCTGTCAAATATAGGTCTGAAGTGTGGTTTGAAATCAGCTGCACCGTGTGCTCGCCATTAAACCAGGTTGGCGGGGAGTGGTTAGTTGAGGAACACAGAACTCTTTGAGGGGAGTTTAACTGCCCATCAACTGCATGTTTGAGTGTTTGTGGCCCAACATCAAAGAGAAGCTAGTGTTCTAACGGAGTTGGGTTATGTGTTATGTGAGCAAGAGTGGCAATGCCTTGTGGCCATCCGAGCCATTGGAGTGACCCCTTTTGCTGGAAGCCTTGTTGGAGCACATATGTTGTTTGAGCGCTGACTCATAGGCATGTGTGTAGTCAGTAGGAATGTGTAGTCAGTAAGTTCTAGTTCCAGAGTTACTGCAGGCTTACTGAGGGACCTGGGAAAGTCTTCTTAGCTTTTTTTTTTTAATTAATTAATTTATTTATTTATTTATGATAGTCACAGACACACACACAGAGAGAGAGAGAGGCAGAGACATAGGCAGAGGGAGAAGCAGGCTCCATGCACCGGGAGCCGGACGTGGGATTCGATCCCGGGTCTCCAGGATCGCGCCCTGGGCTAAAGTCAGGCGCTAAACCGCTGCGCCACCCAGGGATCCCTTCTTAGCTTTTTTGAACTGTTTCAGGATCTGTGAGACCAGGGGATGTCTAGGTGGCCTTGTTAGCTTTAGAAATTCTATTTTTTAATGTTAATGTATGTTTAATATTGGTTGTAGTGCACAGGTCTCATGGATGTGAATATATGTACTCATTTACACCATATATCCGTGTTCATCTTAGGTTTACATGGGCTCCTAAGAGAAGAGACTACCTTATTCGTCCTTAATCTAGAATGGTGCCTGACACACAGGTGGTGTTTTCAGGTAATGGTCATCATATAAATTAAGGAAAGCAGGGGAGGCAACGTGCTGACATTTCAGGCAGCCTCAGAAACTCTCGGGGAATTAGAAATTACAAACTATAAACCGAAATCAAGGAGATGAGAGAGATGAGAAGGAGCAAACTAGCTGTTCGCTCTCCTGGCTGTTACTGGCTGGTCAGACACTCTCCCTTTCGTCCATCACTGTGAGGGAGTCCTAGCACATGATCCACGTTCAGTGCCTCACTCCGCACCTGACACACCATAGGCACACAACAGTGTCAGCTATCACCAGTAGGAAGAAGAAGGTGAGTTTCCTAGTTTGCCAGAGGTTATCAGATGAGGTGGATCATCACCCAGTAGAACTGCAATTTGAGAGCACGTTTACTTTCCACCAAATTTTCCTGGACTTAACATTTGACTCCAGGACCTTTTCAGTGTCAGGCCCTGGAACGGCGGGTCTCTGGGTGCAGTGGTGAGCGTAGGCTGTGGATGTGATTCAGCTGAGCCAGGGCCTGGCCCCACGGTGTTGTGTGAGTGTTGCTTTTTTTGAGTCCTGAGGAACCAAATGGTGACGGCTGTCAGGTCTCTTGTTGGTTAATAAAGATGTACAGAAGGGACATCTGGCTGTTTGATTCTTCTATTTAGTTGAAAAATAAATAGAGGTTTACCCCGGAAGTGACATGCATAGGGATTTCCTTCCAAGCATGAGGATACTCTTAGTGACTGGTACCCATCACTGAGGGCAAGGTGGGGGTCCACTCCCAGCAGTGAGTGACCCATCATGGCAGTGGTGACAAGGGCATTGTCCTGTAATTGGAGTTGCTCCTGGAGGGTCCCTGGCCTTGCAGGTAGGTGACATGATGCCCCCTTTACCGTGTTTAGGCCATACATCTCTTCAGACTGGGCTCCCGTGGGTCGGCTGGTCTGATGGCTACATATGGACCAACAGCAGTGCCAGCTGCCCCAACTCCTTCACTGCTGTGACTCCATGGAGGGCAGGGGGGAAAATCGGGTCTCCTAGTCGGGGGGAGTTGTGTTTTTAAAGCTGCAGCTTATTCCTTTCCTTTAATTGGCAGTTCCATTTCTAACACGTGAGCCTTCAGATCTAGGCTTTTGTGGGGTCTCCGAGGGATTAATGTGGTGCCAGGAGGATAAAAGAGCATAAGGAGAAATGCTTTTTGACAGGACCAAGTGGAGTAGATGCCCCTGAGGCCCTCACTCAGGAGGGGTCATCTCCTTGAGGAAAGGCCCTTCCCCCTGGAGTGAGCCAGTTCTCGATTTTCCTGACGCTTTCTCATTTCCCCTCAGAGCCCTCAGAAGCCAGGCCAATCCCAGCTAGATAGCAGAAACTGTTGGTTAATCTCTTTCTCTCTCTTTTTTATTTTTAAGAATTTATTTTTTTTGAGAGAGAGAGGACGAGAGTGAGCATGATGGGGTGGGCTGGAGAGGGAAAAGCAAACTCCCCACTCAGCGAGGAGCCCAACATGGGGCTTGATCCCAGGACCTTGGGATCATGACCTTGAGCTGAAGGCAGACACTCAACCGACTGAGCCACCTGGGCTCTTAATGAAAGGCAGCAGTTTGGTGCAGAACAGGGAAGTCTCCTTGGATGCAAAGACACCGTCCAACGTTGCCTAGTGCAGAAGGGCATGGCCATGGGTGTATTTCTACACAAAGAAGGAGTCCTTGAAAATCTATTAGGCTTAGAATTTTCAACAATGATCTAAACATAGACTCCTCAACTATTGCCTTTTATCTGGGCACATTAAAAGTTGAGGTGATGCCTATAGAAACTACATATGATTTAGCAAATAGTTAAGAAGAGATTGCCATACACGTAAGTCAAGTTCCACCTCTGCCCACAGGAAGCAAGAGCTGAAAACGCGCCCCCAAGGGCTCCGCTGAGTGCGTCTGGCTGCAGGAGTAAAGCTGACTGAAGCCCGGGCGCTGTGTTCCTTCTCTAGGTCTGAGCAACAGAGAAAATACGAGAGCAGTCCCTCTAGTGCGCTCAGTTCAAGTAGTTAGCCTTTCCGCCTCGACTGGCATGGCCCACCTGACTGGTTACAAGTCTCAATTCTTTGGAGACCAGGTGCGGTGTGGATTGGAGCAAGGATGTGACCTCCTGAGCCTTTAGCACGAGGGACACTGTGAGGTGTCATAGAACTGGCCGCTGTCCCCTGGGGGCCAGCCCAAACATAGCTACCAGGCAGGGCCTGCAGGGGCAGCCTGTGCCCTCCGCTCATCCTGGATCTTGGACATAACCCCCACCCCCCGCCCACTTATTAGGCAAGAGAAACAAGGATGCCCAGTCACTGACTTCCAAACTGCAGCCACTGCGGCGAGCAAGGGATGGGCATATCCTCAGATCGTGATGATTTGTCAGGAATTACTAAGACCCACACCCACCCCACTCCAGTCTCACCACACTCCTAAAGCCCCTTCTTTGATCATGGCATCTCACTGGTGCAGAATGTGCTCAGATTGAGTGCCACCTCCACTTAAGCTCTTCTAGAACATTCTTCTCCCTGAAAGGAGGTGAAAAGGAACTGGTCTGAATTCATAGATCATGTTACCGTCTCATTTTGGAGAGAGGGGAGAAGCGAGGATGAGTAGTCGCCTGGTTCTTCGGTGTTGCTTGGTACAGGAACCGCAGGCCCGGAGCTCCAGGTAGCCGGCTGTGGGGTGTCTGGGGCGGGACTTCTGGCCCGGGGTGTGCAAGCAGCGGCGGTGAGCCTCACTGACCATGATGTCATTCTTGTGATTTTGTTTCCACCTGGTGGTACTGCATAGAGAAAACTTGCAGCTCCGTTCATGCAGCCACCCCACCTCCTGCCCCTTAAAGAGGAAGCATTGTCTTATTCTAAGGGGCCCCAAAGCAGTAGGGCACCGGCACAAGGCCCTATGTTTGGTACAAGACACAGGTTCCTACAAACTGGACTCGGAAAACAAGCCAGTGCTCTCCCGAGGCCCCTGTCTTGGGGGAAAAGGAGACTTTTTGTGGTTCTGCGCCTTTGTTTCTGAAATGAGGACCTCCAGGCACAGTGAGGTGAAGGGACCATCCCGAGAATGTGCATCTCTGCTTCCTCGGTTTGGACTTCTGTCCCCACTTCAGCTTGTGCCCCCTCCGTTTCGTTTTGTATTCAGTCGAGTCTTGCCTTTATGACTGCCTCCTCTTTTTTCTCTGTAAACATTAATATGAAGTATATTTGCTTTGCTTTTCAGCCTGGCCTGCCCTCTGTGTGTCCAAAATAGCCAGCTGGAATTCATGAGAATGTTATGTCTTCAGATGTTTATAATCCGAAAGAATCCCTTATGGGTTTTTTTTTTTTTATAATAAAACTACTTGGATGTCGGTATTTTATGTTGGAAAGGCGAGCCAAGTTCACAATGCAGCAATTACAATGCAATGCATTATGTATAATTTGTAGCGCGCCCCAGGAGCAATGGTAAACCGTGAAATGCCGTCCCGGCCTCACAGCATAATTAGCAGGATCAAACGCTGTGCAGAGAGAAGCACAATAGTTGTCGGCCGAGGTCAATAAAAGTAAGGAAAAGTTCTGATAAAAGCAGTACACCCCAAATTATATAAAGAGCAGCCCCTATATCAGGCTGCAAATATGTCAAAAGCCTTCACTGCTAATTGAAGAAACCTTTTGAGGTTTAACAGCTCATAAATTTGCACTGGGAATGCCCTATTGTTCTGGGGTTATAAGTCTTGTCTTTGAAATTTAACAGTTGTACTTTTATATTGCATTCCTCCAAGAGTACCATTGTAAACATGAAGGGTTTGCATTTTAACATAAATTTGAACAATGTGGTTTTAAAAGGGCTCGCCACATCAAAGGGAGGCTGTTTGGGCATGTTTTATAAATTCTTTTTTTTCTATAGTATTTAAAGCTACAAATGACTCATAGAAGTCTGTTCCATTTTTATCAGTCATGTTGGTATAGTGTCCTCATTGGGGCTTTTTAACTGTCCTTATTTTTTTCTGACCTAAGAGCATCTGAAAACAGGTCTAGGCCTTTTGCCAAGTCAGTTGCCCTTAATCTACTATCCTCAGACCCGTAGAAACAGTTCTGGAAACGTGGTTATACTTGGTCTAAATAGCAACAAGTTCTGTGCCTTTTCATGGTCTTTTTTTTTTTTTTTCCTTAGCTCAGAATATCCAATGTATCAACTTGCAATTTCTTCTTTTTTCATGTACCAATTACGGCCCCTCCCATACCCTCATAGCCTCCCATTTAAAAAAAAAAAAAAAACCCACAAATTTTTTTTGCTGAGCCACTGGTTAAAGTGAAGAAAGTTGGATTTTAAAGGGAGAGATGTGGGTGCTGGTGTCCAGAGCAACCTGGTGGTACAGAGAAAGAACACTAAGCTTAGATCCAACCCCTGGCATCCAGGCCATATTATTTGCTGGCTCTGAAGCCTCAGAAAATCACACACCTTCTGGAACCTCAGTTTGGCCATCTATAAAATGAGGACAGTAGTTACTACGCTGCCCCTCTGTCCCTCCTTCCCTCTCAGTCATGCATCTGTTTATTTATTTATTCATCCTTAGAGAAAGTGAACACAACCCCTCACTCCTCTTACCCACAGAGCTCACAGCCCAATGAGGATGCACATTCCTGAAATAATGAGTCCTGTCAAATTAACAATGGGGGCGTCATGTGCTTTGAAGGAAGGGGACATGCTCCCATGAGAGCCCAGGGCAGAGGACCTCATAGAGGGTTCAGGGGATACAATCCGTTTCCTGAGGATCCAGTGTTTGTGCTGGTTGTTGGAAAAGGATAAGCAGTGAGTGGGAAGGGATGGAAGGCAGGTGTCCTGGGCTGGGTACAAATTTTGGTGTTTATACTTAAAGAAAAGGAAGCCCTGGGCAGGCAGAGGATGAACTGGATCAGGTGCATGTTTTCCAAAAGCTCTCCCACAAGTGTGTGGGGAATGGCCTGCAGGAAGGCCAGAGAGAATGTGAGGAGATCATCTAGGGGCTCCCAAAACAGGTGCTCAGGCAGGGGTGGTGATGGGGCAGATGGAGAGAAATGGACGAGTTCGAGAACCGTTCAGGTTAAAATGACAGGGTTTGGTGATGTGTCACAGAGGGCCAGGTGAGAAGAGGGAGATGTCCAGGGTGACTAGGGTCTGGTATGTGTGATTAACTGGTTGTATGGAGGGAACATTCCTGGGATGGGGCTGCCTGGAAGGGAGGTTATTAGTAAAATAACAGGTACCACTTACTCTCGATGGTTTGGGGCCTGGCGCTGACAGCCTCTGATTCGTTCACTTCTGAGCACATCTACGAAGCCGATTTCTGCAGTTCACAGATAACAAAGTCAAAGGTCAGTGAGGAGGGTAACATGTCCAAGGGCGCAGGACAAGGAGCAGGGGTGGTATTCAAACTCAGGTCCATCTGACTCCGGGAAACCCTTCCCTTGCACTGTCCCCAGCAGAGCCAGGGAGCAGAAGGGCACTTTTGTAAGACACCAGTGTCCACTCCAGGTTTAACAAGGGAGGTGGTGTGAGTTATTCAGGATGAAATGAGCCTAAAAGAGAAAATAAAGAAGCCGAGTGTTAGGAACAGACAGTGGAGGGACCTGGCTTCTCTCTCTGCTGCTGTAGCTGCATCAGCTGGAAAACCACTTACCCTCCCTGTGCTTCTGTCTCCCATCTCCAACATGAGCCGATTGGATGCCACCATCCCAAGTGACCCCCCTCCTTGCTCGGAAAACCCATGATTTTTGTGGTGGACTAGACACATCTCATACAGAATCTCCTGTCCACACTCGATCAAAACTTCAGAGCTTCCTTAAAACCATAGACTGGCCTTCCCGTAGGAGCTTTTAATCTGTCCGTAGCACACACTGAGATACGTCCAGAGAGGAGGCTCAGAAAGCAACATACTCCCTCCCTTCACTTACATCCATTTTCTAAGATAGTTTTAGACTCCTCACTTGGCACTTCAAGTTCAGAAAGTTTAGTCCCGTGGTCTCCCTTAATGTTCATAAAGTAAGTTTTATTCTGCTAGAAATTATTAACAAACCTGTAAGAATAAGTCACTGTTTGTTGTTACTGAGTACCTCTCCACAGCAAAGGCCATTATAGAATCCTTTCGGAGCAAATTCTAGGTCAGCTGGAGGCAGCCGTTTCAGGGGTGTGAGAACAGTCTGAGAAAGCCCCCCCCCCCAGGCCTTCCCGAGGCTGAGAGGGGAGGGCTCATGTAGGAGAGATGTTTCAGTCATGGGGCGTGTGTGAGAGAGAGAGAGATAGAGAAAGTGTGTGTGTCACACACACACACACACACACACTCACACACTCACACACTCTTTAATGGGGCACATGATCAGAATGCAGTGTGGATGGCAGTGAGTTAACCAGACCTGAAAGAACACTCAAGAAAGTGGCACTTAGGCTCAGGTTTAGGCTAAATACCACCGAATACAGAAGAAGCAAGCATGTTTTTTAAACAACCATCGTACTTGTGGGCTAGCTTATCACATCCCAGAAATCCACAAGTGCCACAGCTCAAGGTGGACCCTGACCCACACGAAGACTTTCTCGGCTCTAACACGGAGAGCAAGGCTCCTGCCCATTTGTGTACCCCCCACTGCCCACAGCCTCTCTCAGCCACTCATCTCACGGGACTTATCCACGGAGAAAGTCTCAAAGGTTGTGCTGTCCTCACCTTCCTGGTGTGGACACCTTGGTAGAGGAGCCCACCCCAATTTTCTGAGCCGCCAACTGTCACCATTCACAATTCTTGGCCGTCATACTTTGGACAAGGGTGTCTCATCCTTCTTTCCCTATTCCCACCTCCTCCCTCTCTTGCCCCCCCCCCACCCTTTTTTTTAAACCATCTGTCTCTAGTGTTCACGTTTTCTTGTTTGCTCGTGGCTCGGTGTAGAGCTTATTTCCCTGGGAGGCCCCCAGCCTGCCCCCGCCCACCCACACACTTTGGACCCCAGCCATGGCACACCCCGTGACAGGGCTTCTCAGAGCGTTTTGTCTTCCCCCTCGCCCCACCTGCCATGAAAGGAAGCAGGAGGCTTTCAGCTTTCGTGAGAGCTTTGAATCACGATGTTCCCCTTGGCCCTCAAAAATCTCAGGGACAGTTTCCTAGGTCAGGGATTGTTTTTCAGTTCTGTGTTGTTATCAGTATCTCTGGACATGCGGTTATGCACTAATCAGGCCTATGGCATTAGAAAAGCAGAAATAATTTGAACTTTTTAAGTGTTTAAGATGCGTTGGGCTTGGATATGCATAATACATTTCCTATCTCGGCCTGTTCCTAGCTACTGTAAGTTCCCTAAAGTATCGTGAACCCCAGAGCCCAGGAAAACTTCAGGAATTTCATGGAGGAAACAAACTGAATTGTGTTCTGCAGCCTATGGGTGTGTAGCCTCCCCTCACCCATGAATGGCTCAGGGTTTGGGAGCTGGTTAGTGACTCAAGCCAAAAACCATGATCCCAGACCTTGAAATTTCCTTCCTGCCACCATTTACCTATGTTTCCCTCAGTGTGCTTTGGCCCTGCTGTTCTGGCTGGGTCATCCTGACCCCCTCTGTGCCCAGCCCCAATGGCAAATTAGTTGATTCTTTGCCCATTTACCAAACATTTGTGATGCACCCACCGTGTACCTAGCACCAGGGATCTAGAGGTGAACTGATTCTTTCCAAGGATAGGATGAGGGATTCTGGGCCAGTTGCATTTACTCTGATGTTATGACGGATGGAATCTTCAGGGCAGCACCATAATGGTATGTATATATGGTATCTTCAGGAGAGCTGGGTCACACATCATCCGGGATTGAGCATTAACAACCCAAGACCCTACCAGCCATGTTGCTGGTGCCAATGCTCAAGGCCAGATGACTCCCCAGAATACAGTGTGGGATTCTTCTGATCCAAGTTTCTCCAAGTCGGGCCAATAGCTCACTCCAGGTGTGAGAGAAAAATGCAGATTCCTGGGTCCCACCACAGACATTGGTCTGGGATCTCCCAAGTTACAGCCTAGGATCTGCCTTTCACCTCGCTCTCCCACATCAAACTGTGGGACTTTGTGTTCTAGATCCAGTATCTGGCCTTTAGTGCTTCCATTGGCCATGTTTCTTGCAGGACTGTGACATGGACGTGTTGGGTGGCTGTGGGACCTGGTTCCTATGGCCACTGAGCCTAGGAGCCAGATGTCCCAGCCTATGTGCCTCCCCAAGCTGCACAGCCTTGTTTCTCCTGACACACGGTTACTTGCAGTGGGTGCCCCAGGCCACCTGGATTTGCTGCCCCCGCCCCTCCCAGTGATTCCTCTCAGCAGAGGTTTCTACCCTAAGTTCCCTTGTCCCTCTCCAAAGTTCTCCCCACATAGGCTCTCCATGTTTTTTTTCTTATTCCTTGATTCCTTGGGGTGATGTTTATTTGTATTTTCATACCCAAAGGCTAAACGGTGTTTTCAGAAGATTGAGGTTTTTGAGTGAAATGTTATCTAGTTTTAAATGGTCTGTGATTTCAAAAGTCAACGAAAACATTATTTTGGGCCTTTGCTTAAAGAGCTGAAACATGAGCTGTCTCTGATTTGGAACTTAAGGCAGAGAGAGTGAGAAAAAAAATGAAATAGGCCTAAACGTCATCAAAAATGCTTCTCTCAGTCTGAGCAGGGGCTTTGAAAGCCCAAGCAAAAAACAGTAGCCTTGGGCATTTTGTTATTTCTGAGTGAAGAGCCTCCCCTTGAGCATGAATGGGGGTGGAAGATGCACCTGGCATTTTATCCCTTGGACCAAGGGGTGGTGCTGGCCCAGGCAGTCAGGGACCCACCACCTCAGGCAGGGCCCCATCGACCAGGAAGCACATCCCTGCATCCACATCCCTTGGATCTCTGGGGGCTGCCCAGCAGCCGAGACAGCCAGGCCACCAATTACCAAGCCACCAATTTCAAAGACCCCTTCGTGGCCCCTCTGGGCCGGGGCTGGCCAGGACAGCAGCAAAGTGTCTGGGGTCATAGGATAAGGAATTAAAAACATCCTCCAGGGAGGAACCGTCGATGCCAGAGTTCTTTGCAGATTTCCAGAACTCAGAATACTCCGTTTAAAAGTCCTGGTCCAAAAAAAATAATAATAATAAAAATAAAAAAATAAAAGTCCTGGTCCTACACACTTTGAACCACTGCATCAGGCACGGTCCAGATGAGCACCAGAAGGCCCTTCTTGATCTCGCTTCCTCTCTCCTGGTGATCTTCTGGGGTGGCACAAGGAGAAGAGGCAGAGGAAAAGAGCATGGGGGGCAGGTGTAAGAGCAGGGGTTTGGGTGAAAATGTGGACTGGTAAACAGAACCACTTTTATTAGGTTTTACAATAAATCATTTTTAGTATTCCCACATCGAAGATCATCTTATTACCACAGATTGTATCTTTCTATCTTTTCTAACTTGGAGTTACGGTGATAGAGATCAGTGCAGTAAAAAGCACTCCGTGATGCGAGGCAGCAAGCACAGCAGCAGGAGTGGATTCTGAGTTCAGAGCTGGTTAAAAGATCTGTCTCCACATCCACATCCATAACCCTATCTGACCCTCTCCTAGGGCCTCGTCAGTCCTGCCTGCTCTTGAAGAAGTCTGATAGGACATGGAAACTGCTAGATGCTGGCAAATAGTCCCCAGTTTCAGACCATCGAGACAATAAACAACTCCATAATATTCAGTGCAGCAGCTTCTGTAGAGCCCATCTGTTTCAAAATAACCCCAATTCTGCTTACGATGCGGAATGCTTTGTTGACTGGAATTTGCCCTAGTTTTCTTCAGCGGACTCGGTGTCACAGGCCTCTGGGTCCACCTGCTGGCAAGTGTAAAAACTGGAACGCGAAACCAGGGTTGCAAGACAAATCTAAGCAATAGCTCAGTGGGTCCCCAGAGCTAGTGTAGGTCAAGATCACCTGGGAGCTCATTAAAAATACAGTGGCCTGGGTTCCATGCCAAGCCTACAGAACTGGAAAGTCTCTCAAACAGCTCGCTTCGTACACTGACACCAGTGTGAGAGAACCACTTCACCTGCAATTCAGAGACCTAGAGCCCGGCTTAGGTCAGGGACGGCCCCCCTCCCCCACCACACACATATCCAGTTATCCCCAAACAGGTGACGAAGCCTGCATGACCTGCCTACTCCTGTTTCTTCCATTTTATCCTGGTAACCCTTGGTGGCTAGAGTCAAAGCTTTATTACCTCAGAACTCATCAAAAAAGTTTAAAAATGGAGGAACCTGGCAAACACTACTTACCCAAGTGCTCAAGATTACATACATCACGTGTGATTAGTCATGTTGATAGCAGGAATCCTGTATATGCTACGGGAAGGGCACCTCACCTCTGTGGCCTTCTTCTTAAGAACCATGACCCCAGTCCAACCGTGAGGAAAGACATCGGACAAACCAAACTGAGGGATATTCTACAGGCTGCCTGGCCCGGTACCCCTCCAGATCATCAAGGTCATAGGATGCAAGGAATGATGGAGAAGCTGCCACAGACTAGAAGAGGCTAAGAAGACAAGGCAACTAAATGTGCCCTTGGGTCCTAGTACAGAAAAAGAAAATTAGTGGAAAAACTGGTAAAATCTGAGTGAAGTGTGGAATTCAGTTAATAGGAATGCACTTATCCCTGGAAACGATTCCTTCGTTTTGACAATGACACCATGGTAATGTAAGATGTTAACATTAGGGAAATTGAATTGACTGTATTATCTTTGTAGCTTTCCTGCAAATCTAAAATTATTCCAAAACTAAAAGTTTACGAAAAGTTAAAATGTCAGAGAGGAGGAAATAGACCCATTGAATTAGAGGCCATATAGCCAAGGAGCATAGCATGGCCAGTTGTGTGCTCAGCTGCTGGAAGTCATGGCCAGGCTGGTCAGCAGGGCAGGCAGGGTCCTCTGAGTAGCTGCCAAGGCCGCAGGCAGCAGAGGAGGAGGCTGGTGGCTGGTGTGGCCCATTGAACTC